TCCCGCGTTGATCAAGGAAAATTGACGTGGGGAAGTCAATTGGTCGTCTCGTACGATTTTAGGATGCTTACAAAATGATAAAGTCGATGGCCCAAAAGCCCATGTTCCCCATAAAAATAAGCAAAATCCAAGCATTACGGTTGTGTTTGTTAGGAAAAAAAAAACAAGTTTTAAAATTTTGTTTTTTCTATTTTTCTATTTTTTAATATTTTTTCACTTTTAGGAAAAAAATCAATGAAAAATGATTTTCGAGTCAACAAAAAATGATAGAATATTTTTAATAAAGTGTTTTTCAAGTTAAAAAAGAGGAAAACATTTTTCTTCTCTCTTACGAGCTATCTCGCTTTTGCATTAATCACCTCTCTCTCAATATATTTTAGCAATTTTTTTTCTATCTCATTTTTATTTAAAATATATCGAATTAATTTTTAATTGTTTCTTATCAATTATTATTAATTATTTAATCATTTGTTTCTCTATTTCTACTAACATTTTATTTTTTTATTTACAAATATATTAAATATTCTAAAAAATCATTTTTGCACCTTAACATTATTTTTATAATAAATATTTCAATACCATTACCTCAAACACCACCTAAACTATACTTAAATGGTTGTAAATTATTATTACAAGACTATAATTTGTAAAAAAATTTGAAACTAATTAATTCATTAACAAATACATCATTTTTCAATACTATTCAATTGCAACTAAATCATTAATTTGTGACTAATTTTAATCAGTAGTAAAATTTTATTGATAATTGTATTCAATAATTAGTTACAAATTATTCCAACTTTATCTTTTGAAGCGAAATGAATAATTATCTACAAATGATGACTAATACTTTATAAAATTATTTTTAGACTAAATTATCAATTCAATTTCCAAAAAAAAAAGAAATCTTAATTGAGTTACCAAAATAACAATTCTAGGATTACTTAGAATTTTTTTTTTTTTATACTAAATGTGAATATGGACTTGATTTTTTTCCAAATAGTTTTGATAAATTGGTTTGATGGTTAAAAATGCATATTTTATTTTTTGATTTTTTGAATTTCAATCTTAGAGTCGGTATTTATAAAAAATTATTAAATTTTTCTAAATGCATCTTATATTATGAAATTGTGAATATGTCTTGTTGAAGTTTCCTCAAAACTCATTGATGTAACAATCACAGACTTGTTTTTATATTCTAGTTTTCTCGTATAAAAAAATGCTGAAATATATTTTCTAGTATTTTTTCATGTAATTTCCAAACGTTAGAAAATATTTTTTTTGAAAAATGACTTCCTAGAAAATAGTTTCTCCAAAATTGATTTTTCTTTTGGAAGTTATTTTCCGCCAAACAAGCCGAGCATAAGGTTTCCAAATTCATCTTTTATTACCGATCGAAATTAAAGGTTGTGGCCATCAATAACGGTAGGATAAAAAATAATTTATACTAATTGATGATGATTGTATAAAATGTTATTAAAAAATGATTAATCAACTTAGTTGATAGACAAGATAGTGCTATGATTTGTAAAAGTAATCATAAATAGAATGAATACAAGAAATGAGAGGCATGAGAAGAGCGAGTTAGTGCTAGAAAATACAAATCGAAATGATATTGGATTAGTGAGTAGAAGAATAAAAACGTTCGAGTTCTTCACAATGATTGAAGGTTGATATTTTTAGTGATATAAATATGATCATTAAATGTTAGGATCATGCTACATCATTCATATTTAGATGGTTAGATTTAAATCGAAGATTTTTTTTATTCTTTTGAGCGAAACTCGCTTTGATTTGTTAGTTATAGAGTTAGATAATTAAGAATGAGTTTCATTCAAAAGACTTAAGCTTTATGATAGGTAGTTTTTTCTCAACCTTGTATGTTAATCATCTTTGGTTTAACTATTTAATATGGGATATGTGCTATAATACTCCGCTTCACTTGCGGCTCATCTTTTTGGGATCCGTCAAGTGGTTTGGGCTCCAGGGATCTTTGTTGGGTCGTTGGGCCTCTTTGAGATTTTGATACCATATAGAGTAATATAATTGAAATTGAGCTTCATCCAAAAGACTTCGACCTTATGATGAGTGATCCCTTTTTTAACCTTATATGTTCATCATCTTTGGTTTAATTATTTAGTGTGTGATATATGCTCGACATTAGTAAATGCTAATAATAATAATAATAATAATAACTAGGCCTTCTTTTAGCATATTATATTTCAAGCATATCAAACCAATATTGCTAATGAATTCTAAAACTTAGGTATGGATATTAATCCTGTCGGAAACCTATGTCCGTTTTTGCATAATCCAAATTTTTATTCCAAGTGAGATCCATTTTTAATCCAGTCTATTTGTTATTTAACTTATACATGTTTAAATAAACATAAATTAACACATATTAAAATTAATAAAATTATTTAATTAATTTAAAAAAATATCTAGCGTATACAATATGACTAAAGATATGAGATGACACCATTGGCAGACTGACTGTTTGAGTCACCTGTGTAAAGTTTTTTTTTGTTTTTTTTAACGATTTTCGATAATTCATCGTGTCTTCTTCGAGGGTTGATTTATCGGCCACCCATATTGAAAGATAATCCAATAGCTTCTCGAAGCTGGTTCCTAGGAAGTCTCACAGGTCTGATTTTACTATGGCTCCGGTGACTACCCAGAAAACCAAAAAAGCATGACGTATTTTAGCGCACCTGAGAAGTCATTAATTGCTTTTGCTAGAAGCTTTGAAGGCTAAGTTTTCTTGTTTTGAAGAGAATAGAAAGAATGAACTTATTACAAAAACGTTGGGATCCCTCTCTAGTGGGTTATAAAATGATATTTATATGCTCAGGCTCGGCTCACATAAATTTTTGATCAAATGGTGGGCGAGACGAGAGAATGAGAGAAAATCTTAATTGCTAAGCATATTTGGCCAATGGCAAGCTGACTAATTAAAAGCTCCAGAACACCTACAAAAACAGGTCCAAACGAGGGTAGAGGCATTTCACCTGAAAGATTACAATTTGTCATTTTATGTAATCATCTTTACTTTTGGTTCCATTCATCATTAATATGAATTAATGCATGAATGTAACTAATTGTTGTTAATCCAAAATTAGTAGTTGCGTGAGCATGACGCTAACAGTTAGCATCTTTCTTTTGGTTTATCTATTGTGATCTTTTTTTCTGCACAAGCAGTCCGTGTGACCTAAAAGCGACTGGCCAAAATGTCAATTAAAAATTTGCGGCTACATTGTCCATTTTAGGCCGGATAGATGAATTTCCATTTTACCAAATCAAATACCATTTTATCCTTAATTATTATTAGTTTCAATTTCAAAATTGTTATTTAGGCCAAATATGCTTAGCAATTAATTTAACTATGCTCTCAAATATAGAACAATATGTATAGTATAGTGGTTAATTTTTTATTTTTTATTTTTATAATTGGATGGTCTAAAAAGACATTAAGAACATTAAATGTATTTTATTGTCTTTCAAACAAGCCGTATAACAGAAATAGTTTATTTCAATACGGAAGGTAAAAAGCCATAATACCAAATTTATTTTTATTGATAAAACAAATCTATTTTTTTTCCAAAAAAATAGAAAATAAAATAATATTGTCATCCACACCCTTAACTGATATTTTCAGTCTCAAACCAACTCGCTTTCGGCATGTATTTTGGTTCTTTTATAATTTGTTTGGCAGAACAGAAAATTTTTGCTCCATATTATAACCAAGAACTCTAATGGAAGTGATGAGCTCTCCAGTCTCCGAAAATGTCGTCGGCTGCAATTTTTGGTAGATGGGCATGCATGAAAGGAATGATAATCACCAAACACAACAAAAGCACAGTACCACTCAGCACACTACTCTAATTAAAACCCAAGATTAGCATTTATTAAATTAACCCAGTGACGAATAGAAGTAATTTTTATCATTTACTTTCCTTCTTTCATTTTTCACCAGCAAGCGATGGTAATCACAACTGGAATAATAATTACAACTTATTAAAGAGTAATATAAAATTATTTTCGAGATCATATTCAATAGTTTAAATTTTTTGGTTGAAATAATTTTTTAATATGATAACAAAGCAATCACGAATTCGAATTTTATCAATCTTATTTCTCTTCTAATAAAATATAAAAATAACAATAGATATGTGTAAATTTCAAGTAACATAAAACAATTCCTAAAACTTATATTTAAATTTTGTTTTTAGATTAAGATGATTCTTTGAATTGAGATGGTTGTTTGACAATTTAGCGTACGAGAATATGACAGACGACAACATCTTTGACTCAGAATTAAAACGGAAGAAAATTTTTTCTCAGTTAAATATACAGATTTAAACATCACCTTTTCTACCGGACATACTTATCTTTCTAATCACAACATTTAGTTCCGTTTAGCTTTATCTTCTTACAAAACATGTGCTAATTAATAATTATAATTAGTGCGGTCAAGCATTTCAAAATCTCAAAGTCTTTATTGTTTATTTTTTACTCAAAACTTTCAGACTTTCAAAAAGAAATATCATGAATGCTTGATTTATAAACTCCTTGTCTTGAAATCTTTGCTTTCACACTAAAAATCGGGTGGAGTATTATTTCATGCTAAAACCAAGAGCTATTAATGCTACTATTTGATAGTGCATTATCTTCCAAGTGAGTAATTTTAATATCAAGCTTGGAGTATAACTAATTCAAAGAAATTATTAAAAAAAAGAAAAAGAAAGAAAGAAAGATGGATGAATTGATGTAATTTTTTCATTGCTAGTAGAATGATATCATAACCAGAAAACATGAACGGGGAGGATTTCAAGAGTTCAACGTAAAATTAATAGTAAAAGTTGATCAGAAAGCTTGCAAAAGACCGGCAAGTCATTAATTAATACTTATGATTCTTGGTATCTAAAGAACTATGCCCTACCATTCGGGTGTGTCTGTGTGTGTGTGTGTATATATATATATATATATATATATATCAGCTAATGTAACCCGGATAGAACTCTCATAGCTATCTCTACAGCCTGAAACAAAACCACCCCAGTAGCGATAGGCACACTCAGTGAAACAAGTGTCACCAACCCTAGTGCCAAACTTGGCCTAACATTCATCAAATAGTTCTGCAATATCCCAACTGCTTCACAAACATCATTGTTGTAGTTAAAATGCAAGAAATATTGTTTCTCCCACTCCATCCAGTGAGAAGGCGGATTGTTGCATGCCTCTAACATCTTCATCTCCTTAATTCGTAATCGCAGTACAATCATGTTTTCATCGACAAGCTTACCCCCATAGTCTCGTCCATTGGTTCCTCTATTAACGGCCACAATTGTGTTTCTTCGAGGGCGTAGTTTAACTTGAGAAATTGGCCTCAAGGCAAGCTGGGAGGATGAGAACTTTGTTGCTTCCATGAATGAAAATAGAGAAGTGTTCAAGCAAAGTTTTTCTTTTGTTTTGGCTTAAAAATTTTACGATATGTGTAGGGATGATGGGGTATTTATATACAGGAGAAAATGGTGTTGCGTGGTGGATTTTATTTATGCCTTCAATGATGCAACTTCTATTTAAAACCGTGTGAAGGGGCGTGTGATATTTTGATCAGACGAGTTAGAGTACGCGGCACTGTACAAGATGTGCGCGTGCCGTGTACCTTAATGCAATCTCTGTATGGACTCAACTTCGAAGAGACGAAAACGATATCAGGGTCATTCTACGTTCCTTTGAAGCTTAAGGCAATTTCTTCGAAGATAGACTTAGGTTTTCTTTGATAATAATATATTTAAAATATATTTGATTTTAAGAAAGTCCAATTCATGATTTTTTTTGGTGTTTTTTGAAAATTTTAAATACAAGAATGTCAAACTATAAGAAAAAAAATATTCGAAGAAGCATTAAATTGATTTTTTTTTTTTCAATCCAATGTTTGCAAAAGCACACAATAGTATATGAGCGGATGTCATAACATCCAGTTGCTGCCATATACACAAAATAAATGAAAAATCCTGTTATTGTGAGTGCAAATCTAGTTGTGACCCATAATCTTTTAATTAGATATTAATTTTAATTATGCTAAATATTAAGAAAATAATAACAAAAACACACATGAGTTATTGGATTAGTAGAATTTATAATTGGATATTTGGGTTGCGCATTAATATCATGATTCAACGGTCCAAATGTATTTTTGAAGTCTTTTCTTAATGTTTAACATTTTTGTGTTAAAAATATATGAATTTTTATTGAAAAAAAAATTATATAAACAAATGATAAGCTATCCATATTATACCCAGAGGAATATATATATATATATATATATATATATATATATAAACAAAGGATAAGCTATCCATATTATATGAAAATTTTCTTTGTCGTAATTTGCTGTAAAAAAGCTTGTGGAGTTTGAATTTTTATTATGCACTTGCCCATATATATGATAACAGATATTTCACTTTTTTTTCCCCAAAATTATACTTATGGATAGTAAGTTTAGTTAGAGGAGCGTCTTGCACATTTTTAGACGATTTAAATTAAGTTTGCGTGGGTATGCCGTGCGGCCAAGCCAAGTGCATGCATTTTGGCATGAAAATTCCTATGTGAAGCTATAAAATATGTTATATCCAACTCCACTTCAGCGAAAAGAAACAAAAGCATAAAAAACATCGTATATTCTATGCACTATCCTAAAGAAGAAAAAATGCAATTTGGGTCAACTTCAAAGGAATTGACCAATTATGCTACAGTTGGCCCTTTTGCCTTGTTTTACTCGAAAGGACACAGTATTATTCTTTTGAGTTGGCAATCAAATGACCCGTTAACGTCCAAATGAAAGGGGATTCTATTAAATATTCAACCTTATTGATTCTATTAAATGTTGAAAATTGATTTTATGACCAGTGGTGCTGGTAGCCCATTTTTAACGGTGAATTTCTACACTTTTTTTTTTTCAGAGCAGTTTATCATTTTTGCTTCCAGTGGCATATACTTTATTTTTTCTTGAAATATAGAGTTTCTTGTATGTTTTTTTTCTTCCCCAAATTGTGATTGAGATTTTACTTATACAAATGCTAAAAGATGAAAGTTAGATTAATTTTCGACAATTTCAGTAGTACCATGCAATACAAAGAATGGTGGATTTTTCAAATTTTAAAAAGTATAAAAAACTTGAAGAACCCTAAATTTGTAATCAATTTTTTATTTTTTATTTCAAAAATTTTAATTTTTTTTTCTAAAAAACGAATTAGATGTTTTCAATATGCGTCTAAAATTTCAACTCAGTGATAATAACTGAAAATCATTTAATATATTAAATATTAAAAAATTTAAAATTTTAAAATTATAAAATTTAAATTAAAAGTTTAAAAACTTAATTTTAAATTAATGAGTTAAAATTTAAAAAAAATTTCACCTATTTAACTAAAAAACCTAGTGGGTGAACTTTAAGACTAGAAATAGCTCGAAAACGATTAAAAAACGAATCACGCGTGTCTGTGTTCGTATTATATTTTTGCTAATGCAAATTTTTGTCACAAAATACCTTAAAATGCGTCTCTCGAGGCACAAATTTCAGTAGCGTTGATGAGTCAGAACAGACAAGTTTGCAACTTTGTCTCAACTTGATTCGACTTGTGCCAACAAATTAATGGTGTGGCTGCAAACGATCTCTTCTTTCACATACTATATGAGAACTCTCAATCAAGAAACAGGACGTTGAAAAAATATTGCACATCTAGTCTAGTTGCCTAGGGTTGTAAATTAATTATCTTTCAGCTCATCAGTGAAGGTTGCACTCGTCCAAATTTTTCTTTCCCATTCAATTAAAAGGAAAAAAAAAAAAAAAAAAAGGAAGGAAGGAACCACCAACACTAAATAAACGGGTGTGATATACTTAATATATAAAAAAATCAAGTTATCATGTGAGGAGTATTTTTTTTTTCTGAAAAAATATATATTCGAAGTGGAAAATTCGAATATAGATTGTGCAACTCCCAACTAATTGAAAATTAGCAACTAAGGCATTGTATCTATAGCTGCCGGATATCGGATGAAACTCCTAAAAACATTTTAAGTCTATACATTGTATTTATGAGTTATTCTAAGGATTCGAGTTATTATTGAGTTCAAAGTCGTCTCTTAATATTAAAAGAACTAAAAATCTAAAAAATAGTACTAGTGTCGAGATTCTAGAATAATGAGTTGGTTACATTTTCAAAAAGATATCGATCACTTAAAAGCATCATTTCCTAAAAAGGTACTCGTACTTAGTTTAGTCTTAAAATTTATCTCCGAAAATGTTTTATTTATGCCAAATTATTTACGATTTGACTCCAATTTTTTCTAAACCAAATTAAGTTTTTTATTTTCTTATCATGGCATCGTATTGAACCAATCGTCGGATTACTTTATCGAGAGACACGTTAGTTTAAACATCGATTTCACTCTAAGCTTTGATACAACCAATGTGTTAAAGAACATCTTGAGTATTAAAATAATGTTTTTTTTTTTTTTTGTGCTAACAACAATTTCTATCGGATATGAGACATTGTTAAGGATTTCAATTTATTTCATTTCTTTTTGCTAACAATAGGCCCTATCGAGTTGAAGACTTTGTTAAGAATTTTGGTTTTTTATTTTTATTAGTGACAATCTCTATTAGGTATGAGGCTTTGTTAAGAATTTTAATTTTAATTAATTTTTTTATTAATAACGAGTCCTTATCGGATAGGAGACTATTAAAAATTTTGATTCTTTTTTTCTTTTTTATCTATTGTTTTTGGCATATTTATTTCTATTTACTATTTTTATATTTAATGTTTGTTGATGAAGAATCGTCATCAATCTTTAAACATTAGGAGACTCGATAATTCATTCATCAATGGATTACTTACGCTAATTAGTTAGAATAAATTCTAAAAATTAAATTAACAAGTTAAATTCCAAAACATCTAAAAATGAAATCTAAATTAAGGTAGGAAATAAAAATGCATAAATAAGTAAAAAAAAAAATCAGATTCAAATTCTCAAAAAAAAAAAAATGATATCAAAGCATAAGAAAAAAAAAACTTTATGGGCCTCTTAGCCTATTAGGCTAGGCTCATTAGCTATGTGATCTCGAAGTTGGCTAGAATGTTGAAAATTGATTTCATGACCATTAGAGTTGGCTAGAGTGTTGATAGCCCATTTTTAATGGTGATTTTTTTATTTTATTTTTTAAGCGAAAGCGGTTTGTCATTTTACCTTCCGAGTGGCATATAGTTTATTTTTCTTGAAATATAGAGTTTCAAATTAAGATTGAGATTTTACTTATACAAATGCTAAAAGATGAAAATTACATTAATTTTGGCCAATTTCACTTGTACCATGTAATACAAAGGTCGGTGGAATTTTATAATTTTAAAATGTATAAAAAACTTGAAGAACCCCAAATTTGGCAATGCTTTTTTTTTCCTTCTCTCTCTCTCTCTCTCTCTCTATATATATATATATATATATATTGAGTTTAACTTATTTGAAATTGAGTTTTTAAATTTTAAATTTGGTTTTTAAGATTCTTGAAATTTTTTTTTCCTTTGAGATTTAACATATGCTTCATTCTTCTATCATTTACATACCTAAAAAAAATAAAGATTAGATAAATTGTTTTATGATAGAAATTATCAAGTAAGATTTATATGGAGTTTTTCAAAAAAGAAAAAAAAAGTTGAATCATTTTTGAGTTATTTTCTGTATTTTTAATATTTAGAAAATAAATAATTATACTTTTCGATTTTGAAAATTTTTTATTTTTTTTCTAGAAAATGAATTAGATGGTTTTCAACGTGTGCTAAAATTTCAACTCAAAGATGATAACTAAAAATCATTGAATATACTAAATATCAAAAAATTAAAAGTTTAAAAATTCTAAAATCTAAATTAAAAATTTAGAAACTCAATTGCGAATGAGTTAAAATTTAGAAAAAGTTTCACCTATTTAACCAAAAAAAAAAAAAACATAGTGGTGAACTGTAAGACTAGAAATAGCTCGAAAAGGATTCAAAAAACTAATCCGAATGAAAATATACCCCCTTCTCCTCAATTATAGTAACACTCCCTACCTAGGACCTAAATAGGTTAAGGATATTACTATCGTACCTCATAGTGAGTAGAAGGCACAAGGCGTTGTATTCTTCCTATGGTGTTATTAGGTATGATTTTTGTTACAAAAGACTAATAGGTCCAACTTTTATGACAAATTTCAGCCTAAAATGCATTATTAAATTTTTTTTCATTTTATTTTAATAGTTTAGACTAAAATGAATAGATTTGTGTCTCTCGGCTTTGTCAAATTCTTTTTCTATTAATCGGATTAAATTTATCTAGTCGATACTCATTATTTGATAGTCTATCCTTTTTTTTTCTTTATTAATTATCA